ACATCAACAACATCTCGAGAGTCGACGAAGAACTCATCTTTCAACAAGTGAGAATGATGCTAAGATTATCTGACAAAGTCAAACTTTACCTGAATGAGTTTCAAAAACTCCATGAGAGTGCATAGAAGAGTAATTTTGGCCGAATCTTCCGTTCTCCGTCTCTCTTTGAAGATATGGTAAAATCTATTTTGTTGTGTAACATCACTTATGACAAGTCACTAGGTATGGCTTCTCTGATGATACAGTTAGTGCCATAGAAATAGCACTAAAACCTAGGAAAGAAAAAATTGGAAACTTCTTTGATGCCAAGGAAATAGCTAGCCTTAACATATAATTGATAAGTGAGCGTCTTGGGCAGTTTTCTTGGCACTAGGGAAGTTTCTAATTGTTTCTTTCCTTGGTTATGGGGCTATTTTCTTGACACCGGCTAACTTTGATTGCAATTTTCAGAGTCGAGAAGCCATACCTAGTGACTTATCCTAATTGATGTTACATAACAAAATAGATTTTACCATATATTCAAAGAGAGATATGAGAACAGAAGATTCGACCGAAATTACTATTCGTCTTCATGGAGTTTTTGAAACTTGGTCAGGTAAAGTTCGTCTTTGTCAGATAATCTTAACATCCTCATTTGTTGAAAGATTAGTTCCTCGTCGACTCTCGAGGTGTTGATGTTGTGAACTTGGATTACAAGAAAATGGACTGAATGAGATATCATCACGTTGGTGGAAGAGGAATTCGAAAGCATTAAAGGTCGACTTAGTGACTTCATTTTCGGGTTCCAGACGTTTGGAACCATGGTTACAAATGACTTTCTTTAAGGGGAAGTCTCAACTACATCTCTTTTCTTTTTTTTTTCATTGGATTTTTCTCTTCTCAGTTTTTCTCACACAATTTTGGAAAGATGGGTACATAACTTATTTAGAGCAAAGAGCTCACAATTTCATAGAAAAGATGAGAAACCCTTGCTACAAAACTGCCAAAACTGCAATTAAAAAAAATATAACATCAATTAAAAAAAACGAAAAACCCTGTGTGTCCATTTCTTTTACTTTACCGAAAACATTGTTGTTTCCTTCTTCTTCTTGTTCATCATCTACTTCTTTCAAGCTACTCAAGGTATGTTTATTGTTGCCTTTATCATCATTTTTTTCTGTCTTTGTATTAGCTTTTGATTTAATGCGTTTTTATGTACTCAGGGTATTTTTACCTTGACTTACATGTTAAGATTGTTATTTTTAAGGTACTTAGACTACACCATTCTAACGTCGTTTTATATGGTAGTTAACGTCGGTTAAAAAGTGACACAAAAGAAATGGCGTCGGTTTTATAAGCGTCATAATATTGCATGACGCTAAATATATTAGCCCTCACTTAATCAAACGACGTAAAGTTTAACATCACAAAAATTGCGTCAGTTTTTATTGGTTTAGCGTTAGTATTTTTTTGACGCAAAAACCGACATAAAACAGAATTACCTTTAGTTGGCTTTTCTAAATGTAAGGTGTAAAACTAAATTTATCAAAAAAAGTAATATACTAATATGTAAGGTGCAACTATAGAACGTGGCTAGCAAAACTCTATGGGAAAGAATGAGAGAAATGTGGTTTGTCTTTTCTGACCAACAAAATCTCTCTCAACCTTCTTTTCTTACTAGTCCGAGTAGAGATTTATTGAGAAACATGAGGCGGTCTTGGATACATTTTCCTCCGTTAACTTCCGCTATAAAAAAAAGAAAACTAGTAAAATGTTACATCTATATTAGAACTCATTTTTACGATTCTCCTATATTACATGCTTAAAACAACCTCGTGGACTTGTGATAGATTATACAGGTGTTTTTCCCATGCTTTGGTAGTTTGGTAGGACTATAGAATGAAGCAAATTATTTGGTAAAGTCTATCGACGTTGGTAGAGATGATAGATCGATTAGGACAAATAAATAATGTTTTACATGGACTATATTTTACGTTATCCGTAGGTTCAATGTATATGTATTACAAGAACGACGTGATTCCCATGCATACATATATAAATGTATAGATTGACGTCAAAGGGAGAGAAAAAAACACGTAAAAGTTGGCATGAATCATGAATGTGCTAAAAAAAATAGGCTATATAAATGTGCACATGGACGATTCCATATAAACCGGAGTTCGTACTTTCTCCAACTTACTTCACTTTAAATGCATGTGTACATAGGGTTACTTTTTTTCTCCAAAAATTATTTAAATGCAACCAGAGTATTTCCGATCTGAACAAGCATGATGATGGTGACTAGTACGTTAATAAAAGGGGGTTTTTAGATGTTTAAAAATCTGGGGGCCATTTACTGAAAATAAAATAAAACAAGGGGCCTATTTTCAATACTATTAAACTAAAAATAAATGGGGGCTGAAACAAATGTTTCATGTGGTTGTGCACAAGGCCGGCCCTGGTTCCATCTCCATGTTTTTTCTTTCTTTTGATATGAAAACATCTCCATATATTCAATTCTCAAACATAAAAAAATTGTTAACGCTTTCAAAAGTAAAAAAATTTAATATACATATTTCGTCAAAAAACAATTACAATGTTTAATTAGGTTGAGATTATCTTGCTAACAAATCATTTATGAGAGACGAGAGCAAAGTACATGCCGGTGTGTAACATGCATCATGCATGCACTCTATCTTCGAAGATAGTTTATTTGTTTACTTGGTCGTAATTGAAATCTATGCATGTGTCTTAAGAATTAGAAGTACTTCGGATGCGTACTTTCCTGGATTATTTATATCATGTAACAGTATTGTAATATTATTTTTCGATGAGCTTTTGGTATATTGTCTATTCATTTATATACATGTCTAACCTGTAGATAAGGGATTTGCAGTTATATGCATTTGATTCCTAACAATAAAATAAAAGGAAAATGTGCTATTATAATTAGTGAATATGAATCTGTGAATGAGAGAGATATATCTTATTATATAAAGCTGGATGCGCACGACGTGGTTGCGACACGTAGGATTTTTATAAAATTCAGGATCACGACATGTGTCACTTTTAAGTTTATGTCCGTTAAGATCGTGACACGTGTCTTAAAAAAAAGGAGAACTTAAAAAAAAAATTCCAAATAAATGTTAATTAAAAAAAAACGAAATTTAATTTAATCTATTATATCAAAAAGGAAAAAATAATATTTGCCATATCCAAACAGAAAAAGGTTTCCATTCATCAAAATTTTTTATTATATAAAGTTGGATGCTTTTAGATAAAGGAATTAAAAAAAAAATAATCTATTACAGTTAAAAGAAATAAAAATATATTTGTCATATCCTAATAGAGAAAGGTTTTCCATTCATCAAATTAATATTATCCAAACAAATAATAAAATCAAAATAATGTAATAAATAAAATCCTATTTGTATAATGTTATGTAATCAAATTAATATTATCCAAACAAATAATAAAATCAAAATAATGTAATAAATAAAATCATATTTGTATAATGAAATAAATAATGTTATGTAAACTAAATTTCATATAACATGTAATAGGTTACTTGAATCCCTATAAAAGAGAGTCAAAGTTTCTCAATCATAAATTCATCAAAGCAAATTCATAGATCCCTTTGATTCTATTTCTCCAATTAAAAAATCATGTTTTTGACAGTTTTGCGATACATATGATTTTTATAACTCACAAAATTGTGACATTTGTTTTAGAAAAAAAAATTATGAAAGTATGAAGATCGTAACATGTGTCATAGAATAAAAAAAATTAATATGTATAAGACTAAATAAAAATTAGAAAATCAGATAAAAATAATTAAAATGAAAAAATAATAAATCCATTAAAAGTAATAAAAAAAAGAAAACAAATAATTTAAATTCTTTTGTTACATCTATTAAGAAAAGGAAAAAAATGCATTTCGAAAAGGAAAAATATCAATATATATTATTTATAATGGTATGAGGCAAAACAAAATTGAGAAAGAAAAAATATAAATAGAAAACTAACAAAATAATATTCAAGCAATTAACTAAAATTAAAAAATTATAATCGATATTCTAATTTTAAATAGTTTGATTTTCAATTTTTGTTAGGTAAAAAAAATTGAAATAAAGATTTCATCAATTAAAATCTCTTGAATGGAATAATAAAAGTTTGATTAATTAATCAGTTGATCAGATTTAGACATGTGTAAGTGTTTATGTATTGGATAAAAATAATATTAAAACAAATTAATTCATTTTGTCATATCATAAATTCAAAAGAAAAATCAATTATAATAAAAATGTAAAAGTATTACCAATTTTATTTTATTTAAATATTTTTTATCGGGTTTTCAATATTATTTTGTTTACGTTTAAAAATGATCAAATTTTGTTTAATATTTTCCATGCTTTTATTATAAAATCTTAAAATATACCCGCGTATACGCGGGCCTTAATTTAGTTTTATTTATACTGTATAAAATAGAATAATAGCCTTATCCTAGACATTCGCGTATTTCAGTGTTTGTTATGAGTTGTCATTGCAATTAGAAGTGTAGGCTTTGATTTCTAATACAAAACAAAAATTCCAGTACCGCTAACATGTTATTGAAGTTTTTGGCATTTTTACTTTCATTGTAAAATCATGGGAAAACGACCTATTTCCCCACGAGAACTATGACATAGCATCAGATCTCCACGGAACTATGACCCCGTTCCAAATCCCTACCAACTGAAAGTTCTCTTTCCGAATCCCCACGAGAAAATAGTTCAAAACCTATGTCTCCATTGGCCTCGGTTCTGATCGGTTCTCTACTTACCAGACATATTAACCAACATAAACACGACACCAAACCATATTATGAACCAATAAAACCCGATTATGACCTGATTATGACCCGCTTACAACTTAACCAGGTTTGCTAAACCGATTAACTCTAGATTCCCCCAACCGTGAACCCTAAGCTAGATATCCCCTAATCAGAAACTTCCATACAGCCTAGAACCCTAAATCACACAATGTCTGTTGTCGTTCCTCATGAGAATCTCGCAGAAGATTTTGATGATGAATTAGAAGACAGAGATCAGTATTTTGTGCAGAAACTTGTTGAGGAGTTCGAAGACGAGCCATCGATTCTTCACAACGAATATCCAGAGACTGAGAGTGATAGTGAAGAAGAAGCAGAGGAAGGCGAACCTCTTGTAGGAAGACAGCGAACCCCTCATATCAGGCGTGGTGATGGACCTGATGGTCATTTGTACAAAGACCAGACCTTCTTCAATGGAGTTGCTTTCAAAGAAGCTGTTCTTGACTATGCACTAAAAAGCAAACGAAATCTGAAGCAATACAGGTAGCTTGGGGTGTAGTTTCAGTGGAAAATTTTGACAATTGGCAATGGTTTCTGAGGAAGTTGAAGATCGATTTGCAACTTAATGATGGTGATCAATACATCATTGTTTCTGATCGACAAAAGGTAACTATATAGACTTATTTGTTTATCTTTGAATTCCTTATTGTTTGCGTTTTGTTAGTTCATGGCTTGCGAATTTTTTATGTTTGATGGTGTATTTTCTTTGACTAGGGATTGATCAAAGCGGTTCAAGTAGAGTTACCAAAAACTGAGCATAGAATGTGTGTCAGACACATCTATGGGAACTTGAAGAAAAAGCATCCAAGCAAAAAACACATGAAGCCTTACATATGGAATTTGGCATGGAGCTACAATGAACCAGAGTTTCTGGAAAACTTGGACAGGCTATTCAATTACGACAGTGGTGTGTACAATGATGTGATGAAGCAAAATCCCAGGAGTTGGTGCAGAGCTTTCTACAAGAAAGGTAACTATTGTGAAGACGTGGAAAACAACTCAACAGAGTCGTTTAACAAGACAATAAAACAGGCTAGAGGGAAGGCATTTGTTCCAATGCTAGAGACCATAAGAAGATTGGCTATGGCACGTATTGCCAAGAGATCGGCCAAATCTCATGGTCACAATGGTATGTCTTTAATTTTTGGGTTCTACTTTAAGTCTTACAAAGGTTTTCCTTTAAGTTTGCACTTGCTGACTTGACGGTTTCTGGTTATGTTTCAGGGATTTGTACACCATATGTTGCTAAGTTTCTTGAAAAAGAGCACGAAGAAGCTTCTAAATGTATTGTCACTGCAGCCACTAATGGGTACTATGAAGCAAAGCTAGATGGTTGTCCTTACCGTGTAAACTTGGATCGGAGAACTTGCAGCTGCCATAAGTTTGAAATTTGCGGAATTCCTTGCAAGCATGCATATGGAGTGATAATGGTGAAAGTGAAGGTACCTGAGGATTATGTTTGTCACTGGTTCCGCACAGCGACGTGGAAGAGAAACTATGAAGAAGGGCCTATTCCAGTGAGAGGTATAAAGTTTTGGCCAACAACAGGTGCTCCAAAGGTCCATCCTCCTCCTGTACCTGATAAATCGGAGGATAAATCAAAGGATCCATCGGTGGATCAGTTGGTGGATCAATCCAAGAGTAAAAAGACAACCAAAGCCGACCACAAAAGAAAAAGAGGAGTTAATGAGTCTCCAACCAAGAAGGCACCAAAGCTTAAAAAGAGGATAATGCATTGTGGAGTTTGTGGAGATGCAAACCATAACTCAAGGAAACACAAGAATGATTCTAACAAGGTTTGTATATGCGTTAAAACTCTTTCTCCTTTGGTTTGTGGTTTGTAATGTATGTTGCGGTTTCCATTTTTCAGGGTCAAGGAGAAGCCTCTCAAGCGAATCTCACTCAAGCTGAATCCTCTCAAGGGACTCTCACTCAAGCTCCATCTTCTCAAGCAACATAGCAGATGTAGGAAGCAATAGAAGGATCACATGGAGCTCTTTTTATGTTTTTTTTAATGGCTCTCGGCTGTGTATGAACACAAATGTAGGATGCTTTTGGTGTTTGATTTAGGCTACTTTCTACTTATCTTATTGAGATGCTTTTGGTAATGGATTATGAGCTCAATGAAACGGTTTTTAAGCATTTTCTATGTTGTTCATCCTTTTCGATGTAAAAGCATCAAGTAGTTTGTAATAAAAAATGCAAGAAACCCACAAGTATCATTGAAAACCCCAAATCATTGTCATTAAGCTAGCAAACACCATGTCATTACAAACACCATAGACTGATAGGATTTGGATATCAAACCCAGAATTTGCTCACCACACCAACATCTCTTAGGAACACCAACAACTCTTCTTCTTGTTGGCAGTGAAGTTGATGATCCAATCGAACCTCTGATACATTACTTAAGCCTCCATACATCACCAATTTTGTGATTAGAGCAATCAATTTCACGAAATCGATTTTAGGGTTCTTAGGTTTTGAGAAAATCGAATTGGGGGTTTTTGTTTCGTTTTTTGGGTCAACGGGTCACGAGGCGGGTCTTTAATTCGGTTTGGTTTCGGTTATAGATAGTTTGGTTTTAGGTTTAGATCGCAAACCATAGAGAACCGATCAGAACCGAGGCCAATGGAGACATAGGTTTCGAACTATTTTCTCGTGGGGATTCGGAAAGAGAACTTTCAGTTGGTGGGGATCTGGAACGGGGTCATAGTTCCGTGGAGATCTGATGCTATGTCATAGTTCTCGTGGGGAGTGGTCACAAAGGGAGAAACCTTGTAGGGTTTCAAGGCGTGCCTATTGTGGATAAATAGGGCGTGGAGAGCATTGGATGTGCTCAACCCATACACAACGAAAAGATGCCTTAGCGAAAGGCTTTGGGGTCCTATGAAGATTGCAGCCGTTGAGAGTCTCTAAGATCGTGGATAGATCTAGAACTCTAAGATCGTGGATAGATCTAGAACATGACGGTGTTGCTTCGGTGCTGCCGGATGATAGTCAATCATGCGGGGTTGATATCTATCTTCATAGCTTATCCATCTAGAAAAGAATGGTAGGCATTGTAGTGCTGGATACCATATACAATTGTAATTGTAATCTTGTTCTAGTGGATTTGATCTGGACTAGGTCCCCGGGATGTAGGAAACGAACCTCGATAAAAAACTCTATGTGTTCTTTACCTTTATGCACGCACATACTCATTACATACTTGAACATATAGAGATAGGCACAAATACGAATTTTCAATTGGTATCAGAGCCGGACTCGATAGAGATCCGTTCTTGTTTCGGGTGTGATCCTGGATTTGTGTCTAGAAGGAGTAATTGGCGTGTGTGCATGAAGTTCAGAGAGAAGAATGGTTTTCAAGTTTGTATTCTCTCGGTCAACCACAAGTGTTTAGTGATGGATTTTTCATTGAGAATCGTGGTCGAGCTTCATTGTGGTTTGTGTTTTTGTTCCGCTGCTGAAAATCGAAAAGCCTTCAACAGAGAAGAAGAAGTTATCTGTTTGGCTTAGGATGAGCTCCAAAATTTTGGAAGTGTGAATGGCTCGTTGTTTTCTCTGTGTTAAAAAAAAAAAGGGGGAAGAGAATAACTTGTTTCGCAAAGTGGATCTCAGAAGACTTAGGCGAAATTCTGGTGTTTTAGCTATTTGTGCGTGGCTCTAATCAGCTTGTCAGATGTCGGAGATTTACTCTCAGATTCGTTTTGGAATTGACAAGAGAATCAATAGATTTGAAGGAGCACGCAGGTAAACTGATGAATCCAGACTGACTAAGCTGCTGCAAGGAAATCCGGTAATGTTAATCATGAATGCCTTAAGTTTCAGTCTTTTTGTTCAGAAGAGATTGTCTCAAAGAAAGAGAGAGTGGCTTGTATTCGTGAAGTGAAAAGAGGAGATTATTTTTACAAGTAGCACAGAGAGGTTTGCGAGTGTACAGTCTCTCGACCAGTCATGATTATTTTGTGTGGGTTCTTTCACCAAGAGATGATCTCCTGAAGATAGAAGAAGCGAATCTGTTTAGATAAGTCACTGGTTTTTGTGGTGAAGAAGGAACTTTGTCGGATTAAATCTTGAGCTACTTGATGGGATGCTCTGGAATTCAAGTCGAAGCTGTTACAATGCATCTCAAGACTCATGATGCCTGATTATTGGAGTTTTTCTGCAAGTTCGTTGCTTTACAGAAGTTTGAATCAAACTTCAAGGATAATACTCTGTCTCGGGTCTGTTCCTTTTCAGAAACTCGAGATGATTGGTTACGCGTAAGTTTCTAAACCCTAAACACCTAATAATTTGTGTCTCTTCGGATCTGCAAAGCTCCTGAGTTTCCCACGAGCAGAAGTGGACTTTGTGTGTTGAGGCAGAGAAGCTCAAAGAAGATAAGCAACTATGTTCTGTCTCATGTCAGTAAACTCCAGGTGGAGCATGAACCAGCTGTTTTGGATAAGTTTTCTCATAGAAAAGTTGCAGGTTGCTCATTGAATGTGAGAATGGATTCATTGCTGAACATAAAAGGTGGAGTTTGTGCAGACTTCAGTTTTCAATATATTTGAGTCAAATCCTTCTTATGTTTGTTGGTATAAGAAGTGATCAGAAGACTGAAGTTAAGCATGATGAGATTGCTTGTTCGATTCTTTTCCACCAACTCATATACAGTGGATTTTTCGCATGTACTCTCAAAAGTCGTTTTTTAGTCTTTTTGAGTCTTGTCTAAAGAGTCAAGTCTAGAGTTGAGTCGTCCAGTGTCTAGAGTCATTTCTATTCATGTGGGGATTGTTGGAACTCATTTTTGATATATTTATATGTCAAAAATGAAGTTGGTTTGAATGAGAAATGGAGGTCCAAGTGGGTTGCTTGTATAGCATAAAATGTAACATTTATGAAATGTCCCATATTGGAAGTTTGAGGTTAAATCCTCTTGTATATAAAGTGGAGAATTTAAATCAAAGTTTAAAAGCTTGTGATTAATAGAGAAAGATGATTACCGGGACGACTTGTGTCTCGGGCCTCGGGATTGGTAATCGGGCCAAGGTCCATAAGATTAATTCTTTTGACCAGAAATTCTTTTGTTGAATTTTTGTTGTTGATGAAGTCAACAAATATCTTCTCTATTAATTGTTTCAAGTGACAATTAAGTGCAAATCAATATTATTGATTTTGTAACTTAAAACTTAAAGTCATATTGAAAATTATGTGAGAATAATTCTCTAATCTCCACTATGGCCATTCGTTGGTTGAAAGCTTAGGCTATATAAAGCCTTGTCTCCTCCTCTTGTTAATTGACATTAACATGTGATCAAACACTAAAGAAACAACAATCTCTTCACTTCTCTTCTTTTGTTTTGTTTTTCTTATGAGAGTACATCACAGAAAACATGGTTCGCAAGCTTATGTATTGAATGATGCAATCATAAGAAGTGTGCAGTTTTATCCTGGGATTCGGAACGCCATGCAACCGTCACACTACGGGGCGTTTACAGAATTAAGGAAAGAGATCATATCTCGACTCTGCAAATCCGGTTTTTTTCCTTAATTCTTGTTTATTTGTATCATTTTAATATTTGTTATATTAATTTGTTCATATTTAATACTTTACAATAATCAGTCGCCCATTGTAGAAATTGCGTTCTTACAATCTTAATTCTGTAAATTTTCGTTTTTGCTTATTGCACTAACGAAAACTGATTTTTGTGAAGTGTTTTTGTCATGAAAACAGGAACAGGAAATTCTGGATTAATTGGATTAATTTTCCAATTTTCTGCAATTTATTCTAATTATTTTTTGCAGATTATCAGGATTTTATGGAATTAATTTTCTGGTGTTTCAGAAATTAATTTGATGATTTTTTGCAGGTTATCAAAGGAAGAATATATGGTTAATTCTTCTTTATTTTTGAAATTTATTTTAATTATTTTTGCAATTTTCAGTATTTTCAGTGTTTATATCTGAAAAATCATTTTTCTATGCATAATAATTCTTATATTTGTTAAAAGATTGATATGAACAGGTGTTCATGGAAGAACTATTTCTGGAAATTGATTAATTTCTGATTATTTTGCAGGGATTTTGGAGAATTTCTTTCAGTTATTTTCTGAAATATTCTCAGAATATTTTGCAGAAATTTCTGTGTTATTTTTTGATTATATATGCTTTATTATTGAATAAGTATTTGATCAAAATTTCTGAGAGTTTTTTCCTTGCTTTATTGTTCTTTTGATTAGTTTAATTAACTGTTGGAATTGCTTGGTGCATTAAATTATAATGGTTGTTGCTGCATTGAATCATGAGGATTTTGCATACTGATATTCTTGCATTGAATATTACATAGAACTTTGACTAAAGTTGCAAAAGGAATCGAACCTGAAATTAAATTGCGATTTGTGAATTAATTAAATTGTTAAATTCGGAATTTATTAATTCTGATTTTGATTTAATTATTTGTTGCAATTTTCAGAAGTTGATTAAATTGCTTAATATATATTTGATATATTTCTAATATTTTTGGTATTGATGATTCAGGTTTGGTTTTTATGCAAATTGAATCAAAAAGTGTTACCAAAAATTAGAACATTTATAAAAATGTGTCTAATAGTGAAAAATCAAATGAGTTGATACCCCATGTTGGGAGTGGTCTATCATTTATGATTTTGTCCCATACCATTAGTGGTTGAAGGGTTATTGGTAACAAGTATAGTGAGTTGACATACCAAATTTATTTTGGTAATGGTCTTCCACTTGTGATTGTACCAAGTTATGATATTTATCATATTGTCATATTAGTGCTTAGTGTTGTAAACACAAGACTAATGTTAGACAAATTATGGAAAAGAGTTTAAAATTGGTTACAAAAGATATTATCTTTCTAGCCATTCTTTAAACTTAAAATGTGAAAATGCAAAGTGCATGATTTTTGAGTTATCTCAAGAAAGTGGGGGTAAAAATTGTTTACCACATAAAATTATTGACAAAAGTTGTTTTTTAGTCTTTTTGAGTCTTGTCTAGAGAGTCAAGTCTAGAGTTGAGTCGTCCAGTGTCTAGAGTCATTTCTATTCATGTGGGGATTGTTGGAACTCATTTTTGATAGTATGTTATATGTCAATAATGAAGTTTGTTTGAATGAGAAATGGAGGTCCAAGTGGATTGCTTGTATAGCATAAAATGTTACATTTTATGAAATGTCCCACATTGGAAGTTTGAGGTTAAATCCTCTTGTATATAAAGTGGAGAATTTAAATCAAAGTTTAAAAACTTGTGTATTAATAGAGAAAGATGATTACCGGGACGGAACTTGTGTCTCGGCCTCGGGATTGGCAATCGGGCCAAGGTCCATAAGTTAATTCTTTTGGTCCAGAAATTCTTGTTGAATTTTTGTTGTTGATTAAAGTCAACAAATATCTTCTCAATTAAATTTTTCAAGTGACAATTAAGTGCAAGTCAATATTATTGATTTTGTAACTTCAAAATTTAAGTCATGTTGAAAGAGTTGTTGTGAGAATTAATTATCAAGTCTCCACTAATGCCTACGTTGGTCATTGGCTTTATAAAGCCATCTCCTCCTTTTTGTGATCAAACATGAATAAAAACAATCCTTTCACTTCTCTTCTTTTTTGTTTTATTTTTCTTATGAGAGTACATCACAGAAAACATGGTTCGAAAGCTTATGTATTGAGTGATGCAATCATAAGAAGTATGCAGTTTTATCCTGGGATTCGGAACGCCATGCAACCGTCATACTACGGGGCGTTTACAGAATTAAGGAAAGAGATCATATCTCGACTCTGCAAATCNGCTTACCTGAAGGTGAAGAGAGAAAGTGATCCTTACAGAAACATATTCACGAGGCTTCTCTATCAGCTCTCACATGGTTTCACTTCCGAAATCCCAACCTTTGATCTCCAAAATGAGTAAATTAACTAGTTGTACGGTAGCTCATCGTTCCAAAAAGACTAATTTTATTCAAACTAATAAAAAAAACCATGATTGATTCGGCTTTATTGCTATGTTCACAAACCGGTCTTAAGATTAATGAGTAAATTAACTAGTTGTACTGTTCTAGTCTTAATTTTTGAGGAATCAATAGTTTGTGAAAATATTGTACATTAACATGATTGATTCGGCTTGGAGAGAATTCACGGCTGTTTAAGTAATTCTTTTACAGCAGTGGAATTGTTCAGATGAGGATGATGCGAAAGGTGAGATGACTCTTGCAAGCATGGAAGAAGTTGTAAACAGGGAAGAAGATTCAGATGAGATTACTGATTATCAGAAGGTTGCACTTGCTTATGTACCTGATCGTGCATCTAAGATGATTGCAAGATTCAATTTCGAGGGCGCCTTCTTTTTGGCCCCAAATGCACAACAAGTGTCTTTGGCACCATGGATCTGCAACCATATCGATAAACCCCTGGCGGAAATTTCTCTGACCGTGCTTGTGTTGCTATCTCTTTTTCACCAACTTGTAGCTCAAATCCACATCGACATAGACAAGGGTCTGGTCAGACTAATTTATATGCGACATGTTGTGGAGCTAATCAAAGGAGAGCCGATGATGTTCAAGTCCATTCAAATGTGTTAGTCCGCGTTGTTATGTTGAAATTCATGCAAATTTGAACACATTACGAATGTATGATCATATTATTGGTAAACATCAAATGTAAACGTAATTAGAAACAAACACGCCCGAAATCATATTTACAAGTGACTAATGCGTTTTTACAGCGTTTGCATCAACTATGAGCTCGAAATTTCGGGTGGTCTGGTCAGAGAGTGGGACAACTCGGTTGCATAATAAATGCTCCGACACTCTCTTAAGACATTGAACAGTGTGAGTTAAGATCCGAAGATCGCAACGCTACATTTGTCTACGGCAACACTACATTTGTCGATGATGGTTCGAGTTTTTTTATCTTACTAACACGAGTTGGTTTGAATCAAACCGAACCATCTGAATTCAAATTAGATAAATCTCTCTTATACCGTACCAAATTCAACGACAACAATCAAACCGCGTTTCCTCCTAAACTGAAGTGAATTATCTGAACTGAATTTGGTATAGACGACAATCGAACCGAAATGTCGATCCCAAAACCGACATCGATAAAACAAGAGAAAGAGACGCGAAAACAGGGGGACCCGCGAAAACAGTGTTGTGTTCGATCTCTTGAAGAATGAAGATGAAGTTTGATCTACCGAGAAAACCAACGATCTCGGAATTTTCTGGTCAATGGAGATTACCACAGCTCGCATTACCGATGGAATCTGTCCCATCTTCTCCCCACCTTCGAGAAGAGCTTACAATCTCGATTTTTCATACTGTAAGTCGACCAAACAATTGACCTCCGTCGCGTATGATCGGCTTACGGATCCAAAATTCGGAGCTAGCACCAGAAGTCTCCGTCACGGATGGAAAGTGACGGCGACTGTGAATCCGTATTCGCATGCAGAGGCGGCACAGCCAGAGGAGCGGAAGAGTTTGACTGATTTTCTGGTGGAAGCTGAAGATTTCATGAGATCAGACGGCAGAGATGGAGGTCCGCCTCGGTGGTTCTCTCCGTTGGAATGTGGCAAGCGAGCTCCGGGATCTCCTCTTCTCCTCTACATACCTGGTGATTATTGTCATTTTAAACGATTTTGCTATTGCTCTTTGTCTGATTCGGACAATGTAACTCTACCAATTTAGTTAACAAGACTCAGAAATAAAAACTTTCAGGGATCGATGGTACTGGATTAGGGCTCATTCGCCAGCATAAGAGACTTGGAGAGTAAGTAACTGTTTGATTCCAACTTAGACTTTTTTTAATTTACCAAGAATTAAATAATCGTAGAATTGACTTCAAGAACGACTCTTTGTTTATGATCTCATTGTCTTTTGTTTTCATAGGATGTTTGACATATGGTGCCTTCACTTTCCAGTCACTGATCGAACCCCTGCTCCAGGTGCTTCTCTGTTGTCTCATTACCGTTTTGTGAGTTTGGAGTTTTGTAAACTAATCTAATGTGCATGAAACCTCTTTCTGCTGTGTTGTTTTATATCATTTTCAGACATTGTGAATCTCATTGAGAGGACAGTACGGTCAGAGTACCACCGTTTCCCTAATAGACCCATATATATAGTTGGAGAATCGGTTGGAGCCTGTCTTGCTCTTGATGTTGCAGCGGGTAACCCCGACATCGATCTTGTCTTGATTCTTGCTAATCCAGGTTTAAGGAGACTACTAGCTTTTTTGGGATTTTTGTGTGTAAAATCTCATAAAATGTATGCATCATGTCTTGTGCTCATAGTAGACTATGTTTGATGCCAGTCACACGTTTCAATAACTTCATATTGCAACCTCTATCGGGTCTACTTGAAATATTGCCTGACAAAGTTCCCAGCTTGATAGAAGAGAGTTTTGGGTTAAAACAAGGTCAAGTTTTAACTCTCAACTCCTTCTTGTATAGTTGTATATATATTGCTTCAAAGTCAGGGCTAACGGTGTTTTTATTCCATAGGTTATCCGTTTGGGGCAATGTTGGAGAGTATGCTGAATGAAACTAATGTCACACAGATGAGTGGAGGGCTCTTAGGAGACTTCTTTGCAACTTCAGCAAGCTTGCCTGTAAGACTCATCTACTTTCGGAGAACAAATGATTGATATATGCATGTTTTTTTGTTGTCTTGTAATGCGAACAAAGTTATTTTACAGACTCTGTTTAGGATCCTTCCCAGGGACACACTTTTATGGAAGCTTCAACTACTTAAGTCTGCTACAGCGTCTGCTAACTCTCACATGTACACAGTCAAAGCCCAAACACTGATACTTCTGAGGTTCATAAACTTCTCTGTTTCATCATGAATTAGAAGTAGAAAGAAGTTCACTTCCGGAAGCTGAGTTATAGTTTTACTATTGCAGTGGGCGTGATCAATGGTTACTGAACAAAGAATACATTGAAAAACTCCCTAGTGCACTGCCGAAAAGCGAAGTCCGTAGTTTTGAGAATAATGGACATTTCCTCTTCTTGGTAAGGTGTCAGTGATTCGTCATTTGCTTTGTACATATTAGAAAACTTTAAGATTATGTTACTCTCTATTGATCTATATTTAGGAGGATGGGGTAGATTTGGCGACAATCATAAAGTTTGCCTACTTTTATCGCCGTGGAAAGAAACTTGATTGCATTTCGGATTACATTCTGCCTACTCCATTCGAGCTCAAAGAGTTTGAAGAATCACAAAGGTAAGTCAGTTACTTGACTCACTATATCATCCATCAGAGCTTAGTAGAAATAGAATACTATAACTGCATCTGCTTCTGTTACAGATTGCTAACCGCTGCTACTTCTCCGGTATTTCTCTCAACTCTAGACAACGGTAGAGTAGTAAGATCACTTGCAGGGATACCTTCAGAGGGACCTGTTCTGTACGTTGGCAATCACATGTTGTTTGGTATCGAACTGCGTCCACTAGTAGTTCAATTCTTGAAAGAAAGGAACATTCCGTTGCGTGGACTGGCACATCCATTGATCTTTACCAAGAAAAGAGGCTCAAAGCTCCCTGATATGCAGATGTTGGACTCTTTTAGGACGATAGGCGCAGTTCCTGTCTCGAATATGAATTTCTACAATCTGCTTCGTTCAAAGGCTCATGTGCTTTTGTATCCAGGAGGTGCTCGTGAAGCCTTGCACAGAAAGGTAACTAAATGATTGTATATTTTCCATATTGTTAATTTGTGAGGCTTTACTTTTAACGTTAAAAACACACATTTCTCTGCAGGGTGAAGAATACAAGTTGTTTTGGCCAGAACATTCAGAGTTTGTAAGGTTTGCCTCTAAATTCGGAGCAAAGATCGTTCCTTTTGGCGTTGTTGGAGAAGATAATCTCTGTCAAGTAAAGCCAAACCTCTTCGATTTAGTTTCAGTATCTGCAAACTTTTGCTTCAATCGGTTTTCGAGTAAAGTAATTTGATGAATGGAATGGTTATTATTTCTCAGATGGTTTTGGATTACAATGATCAAATGAAGATCCCTTTTCTCAAGAACCTCATAGAAGAGATAACACAGGACACAGTTAAGCTGAGGTATTTTAAATTGAACCTCTTGTCGACACTAGAATACAACATTTGTTCTGCTTTTGAAATATGGTTTGTGATGATAATATGGTTTAGGAACGGTGAAGAAGGCGAAGTAGGAAACCAAGATTTGCATGTGCCTGGAATAATACCAAAGATTCCGGGACGGTTCTACATATATTTTGGGAAACCAATAGAAACCAAAGGTAGAGAGAAAGAGCTAAACGATAAAGAGAGAGCTCATGAGGTTTACTTGCAGGTCAAGTCAGAAGTAGAAAGATGTATAGCTTACCTGAAGGTGAAGAGAGAAAGTGATCCTTACAGAAACATATTCCCGAGGCTTCTCTATTACCTCTCACTTGGTTTCACTTCCGAGATCCCAACCTTTGATCTCCGAATCCATTAAGTTATATCTATAGTTACTAGATTTGTGTGGTAGCACTATTTTACAGTATAAAACTAATTGTATTGTCGCTCAAAAATACTAATCTTATTGTGGGGTTCAAAGTTCAAACTAAGTAAAAAAAAAGTATACTTGGGTTTGTTTTGTAACATTCAAAAGTGTGTGGTTTTAATGAGAAAGCTAAGATACAATGGGTCTTTATGTTGAGATTCATGCAAATTCATGCAAACAGCATCTAACATGGTCATAATCATTCATGGAAACAAAAGACATGTATCCGTGTTTCTTATCCGCACTGTCTTGATGAAAGGTAAAATCATGTTCCTATCTGAAAAGAGAGGACTCCTATGATCTTATTTGTTATGCAGGAAAATTATTAAATTAATAAAGCAAAAGACTTGATTATTCACTAGTCTAAGATTTTGGTTTCTCCGCGGCCTCCTCAGCATCATCAAGCGTGGGGACTCCTCTGGCTTCCAAAAAATCGCTTGGCGTCAACAAGCGTGGGGTCTCCACTGGCTTCAAAAACCTCTTCTTTCTTCCGACAGTTTGAGATCTCACCAAGCCGGACGGTTTGAGATCGCTTGGCGTCACCAAGCATGGGAAATATCCATCTTCATTAGGTCTTCCAAAAAGAAGGTCTAGATAAGCTTTACGCCTACCTTGAGCAAGTTGGCGAACATAAATTTCGATATACTTTCGCCTGAGTGCTTCAACCTCATTCTTGTACTTGGATTCCCTAGGAGACGATGCCATGACGATGAAAATTCAGAAAACCCTAGACGGAGAGCACAATTCAGGCATCAACTGTAACACCTATATATTTTATACAATCTGCAAATTAAAAAATGGGCCAAAAAACATCTTCTTTACCAATGGGCCCAAATTTTTAAAACACTACCTCTCTAACTTTGCAATTTACATATCAATCAGACTTCCACATACTCTATGTAACAGAAACAAATAAACCACAATCTAGCTCTTGAGAAACACGCAAGTATGAGCAAGAAAGTGATTCATACAGCAAGAAGCTCTCTTCCAAAAAAAAAAAAAAAAAAGAAGCTCTCTTCCATCCATCCATCCATTTTGCTCTCTTACTTCTTTTACTAAATCAGAAATGATCGGT